CTATATTTAATGATTATTCTGCCACTCCATATGTTTTCATTCAATGTTAGTCGCCTTGACCCCACCCACAGGCTCCTTCTTTGTAGATTCTTGCTTTCGACCTCAGCCTATTAGCGGTGTTCTCAAATTCCCATCATATCATCTGCTCTTGTATCGTAAAGTTGACAATTTAAATTTCTTCCTGTCAAGCACCCAACCAGGCTTTTTGAAATTCCGCTTCAGAGACTTTGTCCAGTCATCTCTTCCTCAATTACTTGCACTGGGGCTCCTTCAATCAGGGTTACTCCTCTTACAAAACATTTCACCCCTAACTTAACTCATCCTCTTCCTGAGCAAGATATGTACCTGCTTTCAAGTGAATTTGAGCTCTGCCTGTGATCAACGCAAAACCATTCAAATGGCTCAAGGTCACAGAATACTTCAAACAAGTTTTTCTTTCCTTCTATCATTGAGTGAAAAGTTCTTGTATGTTTTGATTTGATAACAGGTCGTTGTCGATCTGTCTTATATCATCTGTCTTAATTAAGGAAATAAGGGGTTCTTAAGCTTGTTTGGTTGGATTCTAGGGGAATGATTTCTACACGGTTCATGTGCTCTACTCTCTATTGAAATCTGATTCCCTTTTGATTTTGATTCAAAGAATCCTTTGTCAATGGATCTCATCATAAAGTGTTATTTTCTTCATTATGACAAACTTGTGAACATTGAAATCACTATCTTTTGAGTTATTAGTTTTTATGATTGTGTAACCCCAAGTATTGAAAGATCCCAACGGAACATTTTGTCATTTATCGTCTTGACCAAATTAAAATTGTTTGTTTATAATTATATCTTCAGGCAGTTGCAGGCTCAGTAAAACTGCAGGCGAGGTACAAGCTATCTGAGACTTGTGAAAAACGCCCTAAGAGTTCTCCAAAGTATTTGAAAGTGTAACACGGAATGAAAGCAGATCCGAAAAGTGCAATTTCCTAGGTACCATAGCACTGGAAACCTTTCGACGACAAGCTGCACCATTCATCCACCTCATTTTACAACACACAATATTGATCAACAAGTTGGCGTTACGGAGGAAGCTACCTCATGTCTCTACGCGCAACGGACTTAAACTGAACTTTTTTGGCCTCCTACAATCACAGACTCTGGGGTGGCTGTGCAGATGAGATGGCTTCATGATGGTATCCGGTCTAGTCTTCAACATCATTATGCGCTTTCAACTCACAGAGATGATTGAACTTCTAATTCTTTCTTTGCTGGATGTACTCTATGTTTAGCGCCTCTCGATATTCAGTTCAGTAGACATCTTGGTTTCAGACCCATTCTCATGCTCAGATGCGAAAGGATGGATTCAAAAACAATACAGATCCTGGCATTTCTACATCTACATGTACAGATTGCACCAGTGGCAGAAGTAAAGGTGCAAAATGGTAATAACCAGTACAACAACCTCTCAATTGCCGTCAACAAAGGTCGAAAGTCTAAGTAAATTTTGGTGAACAGCATAGAAATTATAGAGGACGATCGAAGTTGATGATGCGCTCATTTTGACTTCAGATTGTATGAGTCCAACGATCATATTCTTGAAACAAACGACTGTCCACAAATCAAGCGAACCCATTTGGATTGGTCATATGAGAGATGACCGTTCATCCACTGATTAATTGGTTTGTCGACAAACATCCCAACCTGAGTTTGAAGGGTGATCGCACATTGGAATCACGCGTTGACTGGCCGGGAGGGACCGGGCATTGACTTTGAACCATCGCAGGCTACACTTCTCGTTGATCTGGTCCATTGGATCACATTCTCAATGGGGTAATAATCTTCAAGCGTGAGCCCTGTTGATGTTCCTTCGATGTATTGACGTATCTGTTAGTATCAAGACCAATAGAGAGTCTCTTCACCTGAGTTAAAAATCGTTCAGTGCAAAATGAAAAGCGGGCGACAAGTTGAAACTCTGCCAGGTGCATGAGCGTAAATTGAATCTCACCCACATTCAATTTTCAGCCAACCGGCCCATATTCAATTTCATAACGGTGGAGGCAATTCTGGAATCTGTTTCTGGAATCTATGTAGACCTATGTACTTTGCGCCACTGCGGCGCAGTCCTGAACATCCAAAATCTTCTGGAGAACAATCTTTTCTAGCAGATGGCTGTTTTAGACTGTACACCAAAACTGATATTCCAGACACCTAGCAGTACAAATCATTGTAGCTTTTGCCTTTGAGCCCTCAAGGCCTTTCATATATCTCTTTGAAATCCCTCGTGTTATTGCAAAGCTGGGGGTTTCAGATCTTAGATGGTACTTAGGCACATGTTTTTCATTATTGGCATGGGTTCTTGTTGAAAAATTGTAAAAACAGCTTTATAAGGGATCTTTGGCCAGCCTCTTTTGATTACAGACATTTCTTGGTCTTTAGGTATAACTCCCTTGCTGGTGCAAACTGGTTTTGTTCCAGCAAAGGACGAAGTTAAGTTTGTGTGAAACCCCCAGATTCCATATAGAATCATGAATCATTATTTTGTGTTTGTGACCTCAGTCTGATTATTGATCAACATCTTAAGCCTGACATCAATGCCTTGTGAGCCTTGGATATTGAAAACAAAAAAATATGTGTGACTGGGCTGAGAAATCATTTTCAGAATGGGAGTGTGTAGAAGTCTTTTGGAAATGGCCTTGGCTTCTCAAAAACGGAGTTTTGGGGCCAGCTCTGGATTTTGAGCCAATTGCTGGGATGCCATGCTCTTGACACAAGATGAAAGAGCGACAGGCTTAATACAAAAAACTCCCTAGGTACATTTCTATTCAAACTTCTCATTTCATGATCATGAATACAACTGACTTTCCTGAAAGATTATGTGAATTGAGGCCTCCATATCACATAGAACATATCAAAAACACAAGTCTGACCTTGTAACTCACCCCTTCCCACATACACTACACAAAATGTCATCTTTACCGGGCGGTAAAGAAAACTACTAACATAGAAAAGTCCTGAGGCAACAGGAAGAGAGCTAAAAATCTGAAAAAATATGCACCTTGTTCCTAGATGTTGGGGCGTCATGACGAGTACTTTTTTGTATTTTACACACAGATATTGGTTAATGTACTAACAATAAAGGCTGAGAATCATCAAAAACCCACCTGTAACAATACCTGAAATTTGGCCCTTGACTTTGAAGACAGGATTTTGGAATCTTCAAACATCAATAACTTTTGCAGTTCTGAATCAAATCACTTGATTTGAAGTGCATTAAAAAGGGGAGCCTTTCCTCTACATTTTTCATTGAGACATCACATCTGTAGCTGGTCTAAAAAAGATCCTACAGAGCTATTCATGCAGAACTGTTTGAACATATGTAGAGTGTTTACATGACTAGATAGCACCTTACTAACATTATGAAGTGTGAAGGAGAATAGTTCAGCTTTTGAATGAACCAAAAATCGAGTTATTTGGAGCAGAATTGCAAAAGTTATTGAAGTTTTTAGACCACAAAATATTGTCTTCATACTCATGACCCAAATTTCAGGTATTGTTACATGTGAGCTTTTGATCATTTTCAGCGTTTATTGTTAGTACATAAACCAATATCTGCGTGTAAAATACAAAAAAATACTCATCATGACGCCCCAACATCTAGGAACAAGGTGCATATTTTTTCAGATTTTTAGCTCTCTTCCTGTTGCCTCAGGACTTTTCTATGTCAGTAGTTTTCTTTACCGCCGGGTAAAGATTACATTTGGTGTAGTGATACAAGCCTCATCCTTTTTTGCATGGTGTTGATTTAGAATAAAACAAACACTCTCTGCCATATTGATAAAGTCAATCATGTAGATGATGTTGAATAGTTGTCCATTCAATTCCCAAAAAGTTTCAGGATGTAATAGAATCAAAAAAAAAGATTGAGACTATATCAAATCCTGTTCTTGAATTGCTGTAAGTTTTTATCATGTTCATCAATCAATGTTACATATATATATATAGAAGCTTCCCTGGGTCATCAAAAGAATCTTAACACAAGCTCCAAGAAATCAATCCCTATGCCTTTCCCAAGGAATCCATCTTCAGTTTCTATATGTCCGTATCAATGACAAATTCAGATGATGCAATGTATAATCAAAAGAACTTGAAACCAGAAATGCCAGTGGGGCAGTGGCAAGCAGCTTGTCATAAGCCTATTGATGGGTTTATGCTTACTGTAAACCACTCTCTCATACTTCCCAGTTGTGAGAGCCCTGTTGTACTTTTGATCCTTACACTCCAATCTGTTTCAACACAACTATACCATCTTACTCTTATCCTTGACGCCGTATCATAACACAGATCTCCACAGCATTTCTCAACAAAACACTTGTGATATTGCTTATGTGATCAAATTGAGTCTTCTTACTTATTCAAAATGCATTTTTTGTCTTTGTTCTTTAACTTTTATAAAAAATTCTAATTTATCATGGCATCTATGTATGTACATACATTTCAAACCAAATTGATCTTTGATGAATGAGATCTTAAACCTCTAAACTCTTGATTCACTCAAGTAAACCTTGATCTATAAATCTATAATTGCTCAAGTTGTTTCTTTTTTCTGTCAACAAATTAAGTAAAAATCTTTCATCTGTTCTTCTTCTGTAAGAAATTTCAAAAATTAAAAAATCAATAGTAAACAAACAAAAAAAAACTCCTTTAAAAAGTCTTTTTCGAAAAAAAAACATCCCGATGGATCAAAAATTGTCTTAAGAAAATATTTTTTTAAACAAGTTTTTTTTAAAAAAGAGAAGAGAAAATCAAAAGTGCATCAAAAGGTAACAAATTGAAAATCAAAGAAACCCCCCATTCCTGCTTGTCATAAACCCCTGAAGTATGTTAAATCAAATCAGAGCAAGTAAATCAGTCACCATAAGTTGATATTATCATTTTTTTCTGCTTAGTTTCTTCTAAAATAAACTTCAAACCCCATTCCCACCCATAATTTCACCTAGATCTAATTCGATTTCAATCTTTCTTTCATACCTTCTTCTAATCTCATGTCCAAAAAAACTAAAACAAACCAATCCAATCAAAGTTAAAAGGTCTTTAAAACTAAGAGCTTGAGTTTGAAAGACTGATTGAAGAAATGGTAAATAAACAATCCCAAGTTGACTTAAGACCGAAACTGAGACAGTAGCTAATAAGATTGGATTATATCTTTTAGGTTTTGATGGATGACGATAAGATGATAGTTTAGTGGATCGATTAAAGTTCAGTTCAGGTAACAGATCCACATTTAATCCTCGGTTTTGTAATGCTGAAACTAAATCTAAAAAAACAAATGAACTAAAGGTCATCGTTTGATCTCTTGATCCAGCACTAGGTCCTTCTAAATTAAATAAATAAATAAACAATGTACAACAAATTATCATCGTAGCTGAGAATCCGATCCGATAAAGTAATCGAGTGGTAAGCACAGCTGCATTTTTGGATCGAGGTCGTCGGTTCATAACAGCTTGATGTACTGGATCTACTCCAAGTGATTGTGAAGGAGGTCCATCCATTAAAATATTGATAAATAGGATTTGCATGGCATTCAGTGGTGCTTGTAATCCCAAAAGGGTCGAAATGGTAATCAAACTAAGTGCAGCCACAGCCGTTGAAAGTTGAAATCCCAAAAAGTTTTGAATATTATAAAAGATCGTCTTGCCTTCTTCAATGGCAGGTAAGATGGTTGAAAAATTATCATCCACCAAGATAAGATCAGCTGCTTCTTTGGCCACATCTGTTGCACCTTTACCCATTGAGATTCCGATATCTGCCATCCTCAAGGCTGGTGCATCATTCACACCATCTCCTGTCATGGCTACAATCAATCCATGAGCTTGAAAAGCTTCGATGATAGACATCTTATGTCGTGGAGTGACTCGAGCAAACACACTTGTATTTTTGACCCGATCGATAAGTTCTCGAGGGGTGAGTTGATCAATCTCTTGGCCAGTCATACAACTAGTTGTACCCGAATTAGCACGAATCCCAAGTTGTCGAGAAATAGCCAAGGCTGTGAATTCAGAGTCACCCGTGATCATGACCACCTGAACACCACCTCGTTGAAGAGCTGCAACAGAATCAGAGACTCCTTTTCGAGGTGGATCCGTCATACCCTGAAGACCTGTGAAGATGAGATGATCGAAATCGAAACCATAGGCCATCGCTAAAACTCTCAACCCGCCTTTAGCCATCCTTTCTGCCTCTTGAATAATCCTTTCTCGAGTTGAGTCCTCTCCCAAGCCCATCGTGATGGAATCCGATTTAAGATAAAATTTACATCGAGCTAAAACTACTTCAGGGGCACCGATTATATAACACGTTTCACGATCATTGATGGTTGACACAGGTGGTCTTGAAATAGGTGATGTATGATTATATGCTTGATGAATTTCAGTTGAATCTTGATTAAAAGAACCAGTCACCGAAGAATACTTGGCATCAGAACTAAAAGGGATCTCTGATTTCCTTACAAATTGTGTTCGACAATCTTCAATTCCTAAAAGTGTTAAAACATTTAAAAGTGCTACTTCAGTACTTGGACCCACATTCACTCCATCCGGATTTCGATATGCATTTACACAAAGGTTTGAGATTTGTAAGGTCTTTAAAATCACTTCTGATAATTTGAACATGGTAGCATTCGGTCCAACTAGTGCGTCAATTTCTAATGAGCCATCATCAATTGTGAAGATTTGGGTGACTGTCATTTGGTTGGTAGTGAGGGTACCGGTCTTATCTGAGCATATCACCGAAACCGAACCTAGAGTTTCAACTGAATGTAGTTTTTTGACAATCGCTTTCCTCTTTGACATCCTCAACACTCCTAATGCCAAAGTGACGGTGACGACGATGGGAAGACCTTCAGGAATAGCTGCTACCGCGAGTGAGACTATGATCATCAATAGATATCCAAAAGAAAAGATCAAGAATTTGATGAGCAAAGATTGAGTTCTTTCTGATCATCCAAAATGCCTTACCAAACAAAACTTAAAACCAATACAAGACGAACCTCCAACTGTGAACATCTCTAACCATCCTCTCTTTTGCCAAACTCCAATTAAACAAATCAAACCAATCACTACAAATGAAATTGCTGATAGTTTTTTGGCTAATTCATCCATTGATAATTGTAATGGAGTTTTACGATCTTCTACTTCTTGCATCATACCAAAAACGACTCCGAATTCGGTGGCGATACCTGTACCGATCACGATTCCTGATCCGTTGCCTGCTTTAACGAGTGTTCCCATCAAGGCTATATTTGCACGTTCTGATATACTAGGTAAACGACCGTTGGTGATGATTGGGGCTGTGTGTTTCTTCACCGGTTTCGTTTCGCCCGTCATCGTACTCTCATCGATCTCGAGATTATTGGCTTTGGTGATTCGAATATCGGCTGGGATTCGATCACCCACCGAAAAGGTCACCAGATCACCTGGTACTAGTACATTGGCTAAAAGTGTTTGAGGTTGTCCATCACGAGTTAGATGACAAAAGTGTGGTACAAGTTTATTGAGAGCAGCAAGAGATTTTTCTGATCGATGTTCTTGAATGAAACCAACTATATCATACGAAATCAAATTTAGCAAGACGTTCTTGTGTACATTATGCTTTTGAAAATTGAATCAAGAGTCAAAACGAAATGACGAACCAGTGACCACAATGATGATCGCTATTGTGATACTGATCGCGTCATCAGTATTTCCAACTACTAAACTTATTCCCGCTGATCCTAATAAGAGTAAATTAAGAGGACTTTCATAAAATTGAGCCAAGAACTTCTTCAAGATAGATTCCTTTGCATCTACTTCAAATTCATTTGGACCATGAATAGCTCGAATAGCAGGAATAGATTGAGAACTGAGACCTTTGACAGGATGAGTATTGAATCTTTGTAAAACATCTTCGACTGATTGAGTTGAATATTGAGCAGAAGGAGTATCAGGATTAGAAGAATTTGAAATCGGTTCATGTAAGTTTAATTTAGTTGAATGTTGATTTGTGGTAGGTTGATATGGATAAGTTTTATGATGAGAACTAGTTCGTAATAGAGTTTCTTCATCTGCACGTCTTAAGAGAGTCGAATAAGCGAACCCTTCATCTGTTGCTGGTGGAGTACTGAGTGGAGCAGGTTGTGAGATCAAGGGTGATTTGTTCATTGCTAGATTGTTATATTGTGGTTTCTCATTTCGATTATACATCTTTAATGTCGGATTGGAGCTTTCCAATGGTTTTGTTGAAGTAGAATGGTTAAAGTAAGTCTCATTCAGTTTGATATTCTTGTCGAAGTTGATCGAAGAAGTGCTTCAAGCGATAAAGTTGACTGAGCAAACAAAAATAAAAATAAATTGGACTGGTATCCTGTGGTAAGTATGGCTTTAAGAGGGTACTAACTCTAGAACCATACCCTTCACCTTCTCGTCCATCTATTCTCACATCTTCCTCAACGAAAAGTACAAACTTGGATCAGAAAGATCAGAAAGATGAATTGATGTTGTAAAACTTCATTTGTAGATGGCCAGGACACCGTAATCAGTTTGAATCCTCTGCACAATTTCACTTTTTCATCATGTGGATCCATACCATTGGCATCAGCCAAATTAAAACGTTGGAAATCTGCAACCAAATCTCACTTTTGGCATTGTTCATCACTTTGAATCTATATCTATGATGACCAAAAAAGTACTTGGAACACTTCTCAACTTTTGATTTTTGAATGTACGAACTTTACTAAATATCAACATCATCTTTATGTGATCGTCGTTTCTGCAACTTGTTTAGAGGATAAGATTGGGACGTGAAGAATAGAAGGGAAAAAGTATCTTCATAACTTCAGACTTTACAAAACTTGTCCACGTTCTAGTTCAGAATCGACTTTCCAAAAAGAACATAGAATTTGTTGTCTATCATCAAAAAATGCATCAAAATATAAAACGTTGATCGTTTTTGAAAGTTTATCATCTGATAGGCTGTGAATTGATGCAGAAAGAAACGGCGTTTGTATCAAAATTCCAATATAGCTTTTGTTCATGGTGGCAGTGGACATTTAAATCCAAGTTGATTAATTTTCTAGATCACAATCATTCTTTTTCACCTGGTAATAGTATGCTTTTCAATGCTGAAACGTCAAGGTGGCATTAGATCTCAATATTATCAATGAGTTTTAATGCTGTTAAACATCCAAAAATGACACGCAGAACTTTTGCATTTTCTAGGTGCTGAGGATTCATCATCCAGAGCAGACTATAAAAACTCATCGTTTCTCAATCCAAACTGTCTTCAATTCCATCCCACTAACCACATCCTATTGATCCTGGACCATCTCAACATCAAACCGATTATTTAGAGTTCACATTAGAATTATTATCACATCCTTACTAGTTATCCACTATGCCACTCAAACGTACTAAACGTAGTCCAGCAGTGGTCATGAAGATCAATTTAAAGTCATTCGAACCCGACCTTTCTCAAGTCTTAGAGTCACCTCCATCTTCTGCTGCTTCAACTGTCCTTAACTTCGATGAACCTACTGCCAATGCAGCCGAAGCCCCTTCCAATTCATCCACTGTCAACGAAGTCTCTATCTCTTCTTCTTCTTCAAACAATATCACCAACTCAACAACCTCTTCGTCAATCATCGGCTCTTCTGAATCATCTTCTACTCCCGACAACAACTCTTCTAACTCATCCACATCATCTTCAGAAGTCTGCTCGTCCTCCGAGATTAGACCTTTGCGACAAAAACGTATTAGATCACCTCAAAAAGGAGATGAAGCAAGAGGATCGAAAAGAAAAAGAGAAGTGGAGGAACCTCGAAAAAAGATACCAAGAAGAGATAGTACTGATGCTCAACCTGAATCTTCTAAACGCCTTTCTGATCCTGAACTTGATCCTTGAACCATAAAGTTATTCTCATTAACCTCATCACCTTTTCTTATTTTTGGTAACCTCTCACAGTAATATATCCTACACATTATTATCTTCTTGGCTGTAGCTTTTAATATCAGAATCGGTCTTACTTTGAGTTTGTTTCTTATACAGTCTTTAGGGCTCTTGCAAATTCAATATTATGATATTCAGATGAAGGAACATAGATGTAGTCTTTAGATGGTGATAAAGATAAAATTCATTTACTTATTTTCAACTATCTTTTTAATAAACGTCCTGCTACTATTACTTCAATTGTATCGTTAGAGAAAAACAATGAGTTAAGAATTGAACCTTAACAAAAGTGCCTTTGAATCTGGTATGAAATTAAAACAAAAATTCACTACCTACAATCCTTCGATACGGAAGGAAAATTCATAAATCTATCTCGTTTGCTCATTATGATTGATGTTAAAAGATCGCGACTGGATGATCATCAATTTGACAATTCTAATCTAGATGTAAAACTATGTAGACCCGGTTTTCCTTAAAGCTTCTTTTTCTTGCTGTTCAATTCGTTTAAGATACATCTTATATAAAAATGAAGGACTACCAATGTATCGAATTCGTTTCAAATTCTTTTGTTTGATTTGTGATATCGTCAAGACTGGATTAATGTAAGAATTCCAACGTTTTGTAATTGAACCACAGGCGTTTTTGTACTTTGTCTTAACTTGAAAAGAAGTTCCTACTCGAGTGAAGTTTCCTGAAGGCTCGATTGAGGGTCTGGTACATACAAGTTCTTTGTTACCTCGCCATAAAACTTCTGTCATCCCGTCACATGATCCAAAATCGACTCCACATTTAAGATCTGGCCACCAAAAACCACCACCTTGAACGTCAAAACCTTGATGCTTGTAGGCGAGTTTGCCTGTTTTGTTGTTGTATGGTAAGAAGATACCCAAGGACCAACTAAGAGAATCTTTTTTCTGGTGGGGATTAGTTTGATTGCATGTTTCTTTGTATAGAAATTTCGATAAGGACTTGAAGTGTCGTGTATAGATGTTTTGCACTTTAGGACGACGAAGTACACATCGTCTCCACCAGTAAGTGAGCAGTTTACGACTACCTTGTACTCTCTTACAGGGACGAAGACCTATAAATGAGAAAGCTTGGGTTTAATATGAAAGAATAAGTAAAACTTAACAAGTCAAAGCCAATTCACTCACCAGTCACTTTTGATGGATGAAACGCTTTGTGAAACCCCACCGTACCCAGATCTCCTCCCAGCATATCACCTTTCCTCGTGATCGGGTTCGAAAACTCTCGCTCTTCATCTAAATAGTTAGCAAGAAATCGTAACTCGGAACGTTGTTTTGAAGTCATAGACTTGAAAGGTGTTTGACGAATAAGAGCAACCACCTTGCGAGATCGCTTTTCCAATAATACCCAGAGTTTGTGGTCCTTTAGGATAACAGGCTCTTGTCCAGGACCTGGCTCGTTTGTATACTTTTCCTTATCCGGTTTAGGTTCCACAATAACATCTTGATATTGTTTTTTTAAGTTTGGACTATTTAGGACCATGTTTGTATGGCGTACTAATCGATTATGCCTATATCGGTTCCTTCGGCTCTTCCAAAGGTTTTAAATCAGTACATACCTTTATATAATGAAATGAAATGTGAAAAGATTTATGACATACCTTGATGCTTGGGGTTTCTGAAGGATGATCACGAATCAATCCTTCTCTTCCCTTTTTACGATCACGTTTCCGTGTCATTGTGTTGCCTATGGGTAGACTATGTATGATTTGAAGAGAACCTCGACGTATATGTCGCTCCAAGATGAGAACGACAGGAGGACTTGGGCGAGTTTGAAAGGGAGCCTGTGCTGACCACAATGCTGAGCGTGCAGGTTTTCCAGTCGGATGTTCAGGACTGCGCCGCAGTGGCGCAAAGTGGGTCCAGATTCCAGAATTGGCTCCACCGGTTTCAGCCCTTGTCGGTTGGCTGGAAACTGAATGTGGGTGAATTCTACGCTCATGCAGCCGACGTAGTTTTAACTTGTCGCTCGCTTTTCATTTTGCGCTGAACGATCTTTAACTCAGGCGAAGGGACTCTCTATCGATCTCAATTCAACAGATACGTCAATACATCGAAGGAACATCAACAGCGCTCACGCTTGAAGATTATTACCCCATTGAGGATGTGATCCAATGGACCAGATCGACGAGAAGTGTAGCTTGCGACGGTCCAAAGTCGCCTTTCCCTCCCGGCAAGTCAAGGCGAACGTACCAAGCGTGTACATAGGCACGTGACATGTGGTTTTGATGTTCAATCACCCTTCAACCTCGGGATGCCATGTTTTTTGACGAACCATTGGATCAGTGAATGAACGGTCATCTCTCATGTGCACCGATTCAAATTGGTTTGCTTGATTTGTGGACGGTCGTTCTGTTTCAAGAATATGATCGTTGGACTTGTACGATCTGGAGTCAAAATGGGCGCATCATCAACTTCGATCGTCCTCTATGATTCTTACACTCTCCACTGAAATGTACTTAGACTTCTGACTTTTGTTGAAGGCGATTGGGATCTTGTGGTACTGGTCATTGCCATTTTGCACGTTTGCTTTTGGCGCAATTTGTACATGTTGATGTAGAGATGCCAGGATCTGTACCATCTTTGATTCCACCCTTTTGCATCTAAGCATGAGAATGGGTCTGAATTCAAGATGTTTGATAAATATCGAAAAGCGCTGAACATAGAGTAAATTCAGCAAAGAAATAATTAAAAGTTCAATCATCTTTTTGAGATGAAAGCAAGTAATGTTGTTGAAGACTAGACCCAATACCAACATGAAGGCATCTCATCTGCACAGCCACCCCAGGGTCTGTGTGATTGTAGGAGGACAAAAAATTTCAGTGTGAGTCTGGTGCCCGTAGAGACAAGAGGTAGCTTCCTCCATAGCAGCCGACTTGTTCATCAATGTTTTGTGCTCTGAAACAAGGTGCATGAATGGTGGAACTCGTTGTCAAAAGGTTTCCAGTGCTGTGGTACCTTGGAAATTGCACCTTTCAGATGTGCTTTCATTCTGTCGCGCACTTTCAAATACCTTTGAGAGCTCTTAGGGAGTTTTTCATAGGTCTCAGATCGCTTGTAGTTTACATGCAGTTCCACTGGGCCTGGAACTGTCTGAAGACATAATTATAAATAAATAGTTTTAATCCAGTCAAGATGATAAATGACAAACATTTAAGAGAGTTGAACCATGTGAAGGAGAACCACAAGTGTCATAATTGTCTGTTGTGATCTTTCAATACTTGAGGTTACGCAACCATAAAAAACTCCAACAATCCAAAAGACAGTGATTTCAATCTTCACAAGCTTGTCATAATCGAGAAAATAACACGTTACCATATGTTTCATTGACAAAGGATTCCTTGAATCATAATCAAAAGCAAATCAGATGTCAATAGCGGGGAGAGCGCACGGACAGTGTAGAAATCACTCCCCTAGAATCAGACCAAACAAGCTTAAGAACCCCTCATTTCCTTAATTGATACTGATGGTATAAGACCCATCGACACCGACCTTTTAGCAAAGCCAAACATACAAAACTTTTCACTCAATCATAGAAGGAAATAAAAGACTGAACTCATTCAGAGTATGCTGTGACCTCGAGAAATTCAAGTGGTTTTGCATTTATCACGGGCGGGGCTCAAAGTCGCTTGAAAGGAGGTACGTACCTTGCTCAGGAAGAGGAGGAGTTAAGTTGGGGGTGAAATGTTTGGTAAGAGGCTCTGATTGAAGGAGCCCCAATGCAAGTAATTGAGGAAGAGATTTGTGGACAAACTCTCTGAAGCGGGATCTCGTGGTGATTTCAAGATGTATTTTGCTTGACAAGAAGGTATTTGAGGTGAAAATTTTATAAAACAAGAGGAGATGGTATGAATGGAATTTGGGACACCACTGATAAGGTGGGGTCAAAAGCTAGAATCTACAAAGAAGGAGCCTGTGGGTGGGTTCAAGGCGACCAACATCAAATGAAAACATATGAGACAGGAGAAGTTAACCATCATCAAATATATTGGATCACCTTGCAGCTTTTAATATTGAACAGAGGGCATGTTGAAAGTTGATCATATTCCCATCACAAAAACGAAAGGAAAAACTGCAATGTATGTCTCAACCATCAACATAGACCACCGGGAACTGAACTCGACTAATTCTCAATACTTTGATTTCTTCCGTACGGAACCTGTATCACCAGTTGGAATAGTCTGCGCAACACTCGCGATCATAATCAGCTCAGTCGGCAAATTAAGGTTTTGAGATAAATACAGTAAACAAACAAACATTAAACAATTGCGCTCCGTTCAGCCAGAGTCTTGTGACCCAAGATCAAGGAACTGACCGCGGCAAGTCTTCCCTCGATACAAGTGTTCCTGCTGATCTGTATTCTTAAAAGCAGATTTCTGGATTATAAGATCCTTTGAGTTTGTTTCTTCAGATACAGATCCAACCTCACTCACTACCACGACTTCCAAATCACATTCCATCCGGTACCATCTCAACCTTACCTCCTCATCACTTTCAACAAAGCAACCACCTCCTAGTTTTCACCTCAACCAATTGTTCTTGATACTTTCAAATCCACATTCTCCTCCCAACCTCTGCTTTTCTCATTCGTTTCCATAGTCTCTTGTAGTATGGAGTATACCCCGTCTAACCTTTCTGGCGACACGTATAATCCTCATTATCATAAGACTTTCAATGCCTCCATTCCTGAGGATATCAGGGAATTGATTCGGACCCGGTGTTCAAAACGTCCATCTGCCATGTCAAACTTAGGGTATGTCTTATATTTGTTTGCTCTTTATCCACCCCATTCACAGCTGACTTGAAGATTTATCCTCATCACATAGTTGTGATTTTCCATCCTTGGGCAAACTCCTTCTTGCAAGACATCCTCATCTAGAGGACGAACTCTTGGAATTTGGCAAGTGTGACGGTCTTGGACCTTCCTCTGTTACTGAACATCTTGATTGCAGGGTACGGGGATATCACCCTGCTACTATCTTCTCTCCTCAAGTCCGACTTGCCATTTGACACGCGACATTTTCTGCACCTGGCTTAGTTTCACAAACGATACAGCTAGAAGATAGTACTCCAGAAGGTTTATCTGACATGGAGTACCGAATCAAGCCTCACGTCAAAAGAAGAATGAGCAAGACATGTCAAGAAGTCCTTGGTTTGCCAACGCAACAATTGTCAAACAACGCTTTATTTGCATTGATAATCCACCTCTTTAGAATTTGTGTCCAAGATGATCGCTGTGCTAACAAACAAAGGTATGTAAACTTTGGTTTCCAATTCATGGAATCTGGTTTTTATAGTTCTGACTCTTTGTTTTGATTTTGTCCATGTTCCAGGGAAATTATTTGATTCTTTCTGGAGACTTCAGAAGTTCACTCATTAATCCGTCAACTCAATCTTTGAATTCTTTCTGGATTGACTCAATCCCATCTCAAAAAAATGAATGGGTTTCCTCTTTTTCAACTTTTTGCTTCATCGTGTATCATCATCATCTGTTTCACATACCTTCCTTTTTGATTCTTCAGCGGATCCTTCCATCTCTGCTCTCCCGTTTATGGAAGAGCAAGATGAACCATGCCGTATGTCCCGGTGGTGAAGGAATGCACCGGGATAATCAACTCTTCCTACCCATCTCAATTAGACTGCTGTCAACTTTTGTTCTTGCTCCACCTATCTCTTTTTTCAAAATTATAACTTATATTTAGTTCAAAATGTAGTATTGTACTTTTTCTCCAGGACTTCATATACACTCCTTGTGGTTATCATTCACGGTGTTTTGTAAAACAGTTTCCATATTATTTCAATTGTCAATCACTTACTAACAATTACAAATGTAACGGGTTTTTTGTTGTTCAATTTGGTAATGCTCTGGTGAAAACTTGGTATTGTTTCTCCTGGATCCTTGATGAGTGTTTTTTTCGTCAAGTCATTCAATTGAGACTTATTTTTGTATGGTTACAAAAGAATCATACTCGCTTATTTACTATCTGATGAACAAGAGACATGTCGCTGAGTTCTGCACAGCTCTATCCATGAGGGGATGGAAAACCTTGAGAAATTCTCATTGTCGTCGAAGTTGGTTTTGAATTCAAAGCTGAAAACCAATTAAGTACCAACTCTTCTCGTTGCTGAAGCTCCTTCTAACTCACCGTTTATCGACAAAGATCTCTTTGTCTTCTTCAACCAATGTTATCACATATCCAACCACCTCATTTCCGGTGATTGGCTCCTCCGAATCATCATCTCCTAACTCATCTGACTCATTTAACTCATGGTTCAAAGGATCCACATCTGTCCAGATCCGATGTATTTTACAAACACTTATTAGATCACCTCCAAAAGAATCAAAAAGAAAAACAGAAGGCGATGACCCTCGAAGAAAAAGACAAAGAAGAAATGTTGGTCAACCTGGACCTTCCTTTCAGATCCCAAAGCTTACCCTTGAATGTTGATCTCTTTTTTCTGATTGTATTGCCTTCATCTTGCTATCCTCTCGCAGTATTCGACTTCCTATTCCATTTTTTGTAGGGTCTGTTTGAGGAATTGATCTCGTATTCTATCCATTTACACAAGCCTTACATCTCCTCTCGATTCAAACTTAAGACGGAATGATACCAGTGATTCATTATAGATAGAATGGTAATTTAAGGTAATTTAAATTCATGTGATTTCGGATTTTCCGTTCGCCAAGGTCTTTGTATACCTCTTGTCTGCATACCAATTTTCTTTTGAGATAGACAAGAAGTGTAACATCCTATAAGCGTTCTTGAGCCTGACGTAGGGATCTAAATGGTCCGTTGCGTCTTTGTTTATGTTTCAACCGTGAAGTCTCGTGCAAAAGTTTAATTATCCCATCCATGATCAATTCTGACTCCAGCCTCATCAAGTGGGAACCCAAAACCTCATCAAGACTCTTCTTGTCTTGTTCTAAACCAAAGCTGGCTTTGACTTTTATTCGAGGGACTTGCTGCTCATATAGTTGGTACCTCTCATTGTTTGAAACAACTTTAAATCTGGATCATTTCACAAAGAGTATTATGAACTTTTTTTAAATTTCAAATCAAGATCTATCACATTATTTATTTCATACATTTCATACTTTCAACAAATCCCCCTATCAGTCAATTTTCAAAAGTAGGCTTTGTAGGATGAAGTTATCATTGTCGCCTTGGCTTAGTGATTTTCTCTTTCATACGAACCCCCTGATTGGTTCAAGTCTGGTATGTAGCACTCATTCAATCTTCCCATCGTGATTTTCTCCCAGAAAAGCAGGGGGTTCTCCCATAAAAGGATGAAGAAAGGTTCACCGAGACGAAGGGAGATGTCAGCACTAGCTGGGTAAAACTATGATACACAATGCATCAAGCCAATTCAGAAAGAAAAGATTGTGACACGTCCTTCCAAGAAAGAATTACTCTCGGCGTAAATAACAACTCTGACGCACCCCGACGGCCTGGGAGTGCCTAAATCTCACAAGAATGTCTCAGGAGAGACCTTGCGTTTGTCACATGTGTCCTTCAGACTGTGATGAGAATGGGAATGTCACAAGAGTGTCTTGTAAGTTGAGAAAGATCCGACGCACGAGAAACTTCCGAGAGAATGGCGGTGTCGGATCTTGAGGGTCGATCGAATATCATTTGAAGGGCAATTTGATCGAAAACCAATCCATCGACTTGAAGTTCCTTGTCTCAACTTCATTCTTAATTCAAACCTCATCAACAATCAACAACCATGGTGAGTTACTTACCAGATGATCTCATACTCCATCACATCAAATATGTTCGAATGCTCATCTTGATCTGTCTCATAAAAAAAACGTCTTTTTGTTCGTCTTTTTAGGCGCCACCATCGCAAAACGCAAGTGGTTCAGCCAGTAGTAGTAAACGAATGTCATATATGCACCTTGCTTGGTCTCTTGGTCATATCCTCGTTCTCCTTTCCACTATCTGGACTTTTCTCGGTGCACTCTTCTTCAAATCTCGATCTACGTCTTACTATATTGCTTGCTCCGGTATGTGGTTCCTTTATTTACTTGTTTCAATCCAGTTTTCTCCTTTACTGATATTCTACATCTTTAGGTGCGATCCTCTCATGGTCAATCGTTGTTTATAAGTCTTTGGGTATTCCTTCTTTCTCTAGAGCATATTTTCAACGCGCGGCCATGGATGAAAATGTACAGTATCTGGCTGTAGCTTTATATTGGTTTTTTTCAAAACCTATCTATGGTTGAGTATTATTTTGATCATCGACCTTCATTTAACTGTGAATCTCAAATTAAGCCCATATTGACTTTCGACATGCTTTACTTTTACCAATCTCAATTTGAAATCAGTAACCCTTTTGCCGTTTGCGATCTTCAGTACTTTCCACAGTTGAGTTACCTTGTCATCGTCAATCTTCTGGATAACTTGATTCATCAGCTGACCTCTGAACGATCTTCACATATTTGACATCTGTTTTAATAGGTTTGACTTTTGTAAGGACCTCACTGTTACCCAAGATTCCATCTCCAAAAAAGGACGCAACTGGTGCATCAACGTCATCAGGAACAGGTTCCGAAGGTCCACAACAAGTTGCAATTGCTGTTAGTCGATCTATTCAGAATTGGGTCAAACAGAATTATGAATCAGCTGTACGTCTAGGAATTTGTTCATGGTCTGCTTCATCTCTCGAACTCCTGAAAGCGGTCTACTAAGATGGCTCTTCTTGTTTTCCACTCTCAAACTTTCATCCGATGTAATACTCTCGATCAGATGTACTTGGTAGCTATCATTGAAGTAGTAGTGATTCAAGGGCGTGTGACTGTAGGTGCCCTCTTATTCCAGAACAGGTAGGTCTTACCAAAACCACATTTCCACTTTCCCGATCCATCAGCTTCGAGATTCATCAGGGCACTAAACCATTTGACTCACGCGAATCAATTTTGATCCTCTTCAGCTTCCTTCATCCTCTATTCTTTGCACATTTCCTTCGGTTACGATTTTACCTATCTCCTCAGACTCGAGCAGCTCTCTCAGCTGTGAACACGACCATTGATCACTACCTGAATCATCCTAGCTGCCCAGGCGCTGCTAAGACAGGTGTCAATGTGGTCAGAAACCTAGTGAGTGCCACTCATCTTCTAAAAAACACTTCTTATATTGACCATGTGTATGAAACAACAGATAATCCAATACGCCGACTCGGTGATCTCTGTACCAGCTCAACCAGCTGGTTCGAACGCTACGCCAAGTAAGCTTGGTAGACCTCCAGCAACTCCTAGCTCTGCAAGATAAGGATCAGTATACACGCATATATAAAGTCTATGAAGCTTGTTTTATGATGGTACTGAAAATCCAATCTTGAGAGAGGGAGAGATAGTTAGCTACTTTGTGTTACATAGTTTATGTATCACTTTCGAAACTCTCATCATCATCACCTTCACGTAAAGAGAAGAATGTTATGTATCTCAAACTTTTGGGCTGTGGGTCATCTGGCTTGAAACGTCACTATGGAGCGTAAAACAAAAATAAAATAGATCCATTGGTGGAACTGCATGTTACCCAAGTTTCTTTGACTGACGACTAATGACTTTTACAAGATTTATGAGTTTGAAGAAGATTGACAATTGTGCTTATTGCAGAGTGAACTTTTTGGGAAGATTTAAGTTTCAGATCTTCAAGTTTGGTAAGAAGAATTAATTTGTTTAAATACGATTGAGACTAGGCTTGCTTGATATAATTCAACTCTTGATAAGATGTAAAGAGTGGAGTAAAAATGTAAGAACATCAATCTGACATGATGGGTGCCCCCTTTGAACAAGCAAGTTCACCAATGCAACACATCTTAGCTTAAGAGTGTGTCTTGACCAGTCTTGCACTCCCTTGCAGATGTGCAAGGAAGCAATGATTTTTTGATGTTCTTTTCTATATGTGAACTTGTATCATCAGATACTGCCAATGAAAAAGTATGGCTTTGCACAGCCTTGAACCTGCCAGATTTTGTACAATATTGGGAGTCAGGGGCTTTCTGAGTTCCCACAACCTCCTAATTTTGATGACCAGGGTGAGTGGGATTGTGCACAAGGACATATTATACCTTTTTGTGTTAAACCATGATTGATACCCACCACTTGAACTGGAGAGTTTGTGCCTACCAGAAGAATGTGGTCATCATGGAGTGGTGACCTTTCTTCACTAAACAGTTCAGAAGAATCAAAAAGTTGTATGATGTTCCAAGCATCTCATTCCAATGAATAAAAGATACTAACACTCAATTCAATAAATAAACAAGATGCAAAGTGTAAGGAGATCTGGGCCTAGGTCCTGGGCCTGGCTCAGCAGGTTGGAAATAGTTTTGTCTTCAAGTCTTCTATGGATGTGAAAATACACTAGTGACTATTATGGAAAGAAGTATGGTGACCAACTCTATGCCTTTTGATGACATGATAAACTGTCCTGTCAGATATCATGCAAGTGAATAAACACAAAAAGTAATAAGAAAGAATTGGAATATCATAAGAAATGTACATATGATCATTGCTTCTGGCATTCCTATATGAAACAAAGTTGAAAGAAGATGACAAAAAGACAACAAGGCAAGGGTACCTATTCAACATACTCTCAAGGTTATGTTTTAAACATGTTACAAGACATCATTCATCCAAATCATGGGTGTAAATTTGCTATAACATGTGATGGGAACTCTGGACATCAAAACCCACATAGTATCTAGTGATCCTATAAGTAAACACAACTTGAATATTCCAAAAATTTAAGGCAAATGGAAACCTTGGTCTCATTGTCTCCATAAACACATTATAGACTCCATTCAAATGTAGATTCTGTCTTTTCCTTGAATAATATTCAAAGACTTCAAGGGCCAGAGGTGTTTTGATGAGGAAAAGAAAAATATGGGTAGATCCCATTCAGATGAAGGAAAAATGATTTTGTCAATCATACATAAGACAAAATTGTCAACCCTCATGAGATAGATTGTAGTAAACAAGATGGAAGGTACCCCCAATCACTGATCAGCGTCTGCGCAATGAAGAGATTCTGGCCCAGGAAGTGAGAAGTATGAATGGAATCTGCCTTAAAACCCTGCCTGTGACACAGAATTTGTCTGGACTGTTATCAAAGAGAAATCAAGTATAATCCACATGGTGCACCTCACAAGAACAAACAGGTGCAAACGGCTGTACCCCCAGATACATCTGGAATGCTGACCACTCCAAATAAGCCAGATACTGATCTGTTTGCCAGATATATCTGATAGCTTGAATTAATTGCTAAATCAAGTTCAGTCCTTCCAGATGCATCTGGCTGGCAGCACTGGCATCAACCAATCCGGGGGTTTTCAGATGCATCTGTTGAGAACCATCAGATCTGATCTCCTTGCATCAGTAAGCTCAATAGCTCTCCAGACGGACCTATGGTTACTGTCAGATGAATCCGGAACCCTGCATAGTTTGAATCACACCTCTACACACCCCACTAGCCAAATCAGTCTGATTTCCACCAGTCAGACACATCTGGTAGTTCTTTTTCTAGGTCATACCAGATATATCTAGTGCCTGATGCATATGTTTTCAGTCTCAGAACTGCTAATGTTAGAATTTCATTCATAGAATCCTGTTAATTCACAAGTGCCCTCCATCTATCATTACATCAAAGAGAATTCTTGCTAGTTCATTGGAAAAATTTTCATCATTATTGTCAGGACACATTTCCAGATCATTATAGATACTATCAGTTTCAATCTGAACCCAACCTACACAAAATCTTTCAAATTCTGTGGCTTTGGCATCCCAGTGAGTCTTGGAATAGTCAACTAAATCTTCTAATTTTCTGTGTCTAAAGCTTGGTTGATCAATTAGATATCAACATGGCCCTAAGCATTGTTGCAGCCATCTTCATGGCATCCCTATCATTTAACCAATTTTTTGGCTCAATGGACACAGAAATTCTCCCAGCTGATAAGGCCTCACACAACATCCGTCCGGCCCGCTATGAGCCGCTATATTTTCGGATTCTCATAGTGGGCCGTGCCAGCACTACCTGCCCAGGCGCTATTGGCCACTACGAAGCCTATTCATAGGCCCTTTGACCATAGCGGATCAGCTGAGGCGCTATGGCTGTGCCGCTATGAGTTATTTAGCGCTATGTCGCGCTATGTCGCGCTATGGTAGCACGCCGCTATGTAGCGCGACAACACCAAATCGTAGCGCTACACCACCAAATCGTAGCGCTATGTCAAATCAAATATGAACACGAATTGTAATTAAAGAAAGAATTAAAAAAGAAAAACAAATTGAAAGATGAATTATTAGTGATATATATTAAAGCGTAATTAAAGAGAGAATTATAATAAGATAAATGAACCAGACAGGAGAAAACAATAAATGTAATTAAAGAGAGAATTAGTAATTAGTAAGGTGAAAAAATTAGAATGAAATAAAGAAGAACTAGTATACTATGTCTTTCTTTTCTCTTTTTTCCTTAACATTTCATCTTGGATGAGTATCCATGCCTCCTTCAATTCGCCTTCAGGCTTCACAATCTCTGATTTCAACCACAAACGGCATCCCACCGCGCGCTCCATCTGCTTTGGAGCCATCGCGCCACGCTGAGTTGTGCAAACATCTGCTGCCGAAGAGAATGTCCGCTCTACTGCACATGACGTACCTGCACATCCCAACGCATCTCGAGCAATCATTGAAAGGACCGGATAAAACCGTGAACGTTCCTGTACATAGAAGGTATGATCAGCCATTGCTCTATCAATGAAAGAAGTATACAGAGATAGAAATCGTTGCAGAGATAGAAATGGTAATACCTCCCACCAGTCGAGCATGCTAGTTTTGGGATCAGAGCAATCATGATCCCATTCTAGGTACCTTGCGAGTTCAGACTTGATTGCCATGTTCGTCAAGTCTCGGGCCTTCGGATTACAAGTCTCAGCCAAATGTGGGTCAGACAAAGGTGTGATGACAGTCGCAGCAGGCGTGACGGTGCCTCCACCGTCCGCTATCCAGTCTTGTTCATAGGCATCGTATTCCGACTTGAGCAAATCTTGAATCCTGACGTGATCGGTTGGAAACTGTTTTTCAATATAATTCATTCGGAGACGCGGGTTGAGTACAGTGGCGAGAGCTACAGCGTCACATTCAATAGCCTCGCGCTGATATCCATGGATCTTCACCAACATCCTCTGGATCATGATCTGTATCGACTTATAAGGTGATTTAGCACAGGCGGCACGCAATTGAGTTGATATCATCTCGTACTCCCGCAACATGATAGCAGCTGTTGGATGATCACCCTCCACTTGGTAGGTTGATTTCAAAAATAGCTAAGAAGAATTGGTTATATAAGAATTTGTCATTCAGAAGGTAAGATGAAGACTTACCTCGGTTACCTCATTGAGGGCCCGAACTGCAGCCCACTCACTTCCAGTGATATGCAGGTCCCCATAGTATGACCCACCCGATTCATCCGACAGCATCTGATTAATGACCTAGTAAAGTAATGATTCCAAGTTTGATTTTAAGAAACTAATCGCCGAGATACAATATAAAAAACAAGGTGAAAACACATCACATACCTTGTACCCATCGCATGCACGCTGTCAAGCACCATGCTTCCCGTTCCAACGGTGACAGCTTCCAGATACTATACCTTTGCCTCCTCCTCGCAAAGCTTTAAATTGATCACGTCGCGGTCCACTGGAATATATCAAAGCTATCACTTTGTCAACCTTGAATACCAAATGGAATCAGCAAATTGTACTTAAACACGAGTTTTTAATGTGGAAACTTCAGCTCACCTTACGAACAGCTAGCCGCAAATCGATGTCCTTCCATCCAGTGGATGGCATGACTGGGTCAGCTGGTTTTGGAGGAGTCCCTCGGACCGCAAAGTCTTCATCCAGTTCTACACGATCGGCCTCATCATCACTCAATTCTACATGAATGCCATGGCCTTCACAATCAGAATCTTCTAAGTCAGCGGGGATTTCAACTTCCTCTTGACCTTCATTCAAAGTAAAAGTGGGTAACGAGCTGTGGGGTGTTGTTGGCTTGATGTGACCTGCAGAAACGTCGACAGACTTCAGTCCGTCCTTCACGACCAAAGCCAGCTTGTGTGCAATACATCGGATCTGCATCTTCTCGGCATTCCATTGGATGGGGTCCGAAGCCTTTGAAAACTGATCCGCAAGTTCTGAGGCCAGAGTCGCATTGTTCGACCCTGAGTCAGTTGTCTGGGCGTACATGTGAACAATCGAAAGATATGAAATGTCAGGATGGAAGACAAGAAAGCGATATGGATGATAATAAACTACTCATCTTTTTATGTAGTCCGTTCTTGATGAGGAACTTGGCAACAGGACGAGCAAGCAGATTGCCATAGTGATGCCATGCGATTAATTTGAACGCCAAATGAATACTTTGGACTGTCAATGAAGGTCGCGGTGACTCCAATGAAGGCGTGTCGCTTTCCTTTGGTTGTCCATACATTGTGGACCAAAGTGAAACGCCCGGGAATGTTCTAGTTCAACGACAAATTAGTGGCAATACAAGGTATTAGAACATTCCAAAGTAAACGACTCACTTTCAAGATGTTGACCACATTGGTAGACATGTCATTGAAAAGCGTGGTAGCTGCGCGTGCTGCCCACACACTTGATCGCAGGGAGGCGGAAACATTTGAAAATTGAAACGCGGCTCGAAGTGGATGATCTTCCATTCGCGCCCAGGGAAGTGCGTGTCAGAGTAACCATATGACCATGACACCGTTCAGTGTTTCAAGACAAAATTTCTTCTTCGAGACAAAGGTATCTAGAGTTCCATTTGCCTTTGCACCTTCAGCAGCGATCATTTCTTTGTAAGTCGGTGGTAGGTCGAGTATTGTCTTTCCAGCTCGGCGACGTCCTGGCCATACTGGGCGCGATGCAGTACCATCACGATGGCCTTTGAGATTGGACCATCCCGCAGCCCCTTTTGCGTAGATTCCGGGACACCAATTGCACTTATAAGCTCGCTTGAATCCTGTGCTTTCCTGTGGAGTAAGTAATCAATGTGTCAGCGATCAAGAATAAGATAAATGTTTGTCACGATGCGAATTCACTTGCCTCGCCTTCGACGTAATCTGGCTCCCCGAAGTATCTGGCAACACCCTCTGCATCCTCCTGATACTGAAGACGAATACCCTTTGATCGAGTCGAAGTGGTTGGTTCATTTTCGTCGTTATCCTGGTCCACATCGATGACATTGGGAACAGGTATATGCTATGTGAAACTAAATGGTTAGTTATATGTGAAATGTGATCGAAAAACTGTTTGATGTACTCACTTTGTTAGTTCGACTGCGCTTTCGAGGTACATCGGCTTCATCGTCTGAAGGAATGTAAGTAGCATTTCGTTTTCCCTTCTTGGTTTTCCGGCGGTTCTGAGTAGTAGTAGTTGAAGGTGAAGTAGATTCTGAATCTGATCCGTGGTCTTTGTTGGCTTCGGAGGAGGTCAAACAGGATGGTTGAGTCTGAGACACAGAAAGAGATAAACGAGAGTCCGGAGATGTGGGTATCATATGCGGTGTGATTGCAGGTACACGAGCTCGCTGGCTTTGACGTGAAGGAGTTGCTGTAGACGTTGGTGGGCAAAGAAGTGAGGCGGATTCGGAAGGAGATTTGGGACTCATGCCAGGCCCAAAGATAATGAGCAGGTTAAGGTAGTTTGCTGATCAAGAAGGGTTATATAATTAGGAAGACAAGGTATTTAGTAAAAGTGAACAATGGGCGATAAGGAATTTATTAAGGAAGAAGATAAAATAAAAGAGGATGTGGATGATTAAGGAGCAAACTGGGAGGAAGATGAAATAATCAAATCGAATAGAACAACAAATAAAAAGAAAACAAAACAGCCAAAAGAGGTGTTAATAATGTAAATAAGATAAAAGGAAAGGCATGTAAAGAAGTACCTAGGTTTTTGGAGGAGTAGCGTTCCTTGAGCTTGTCCACTCCTCTGGATGTTGACAACGTCAGTCTCCAGAATTTAAAAATACCCAGTCATCTACTTTCACTGTGATGTCTGAGTTTTGCTTGTTATGGTGGAGTGCTTGCAGAACTTGAATCTCCCAAAGGTTATCCCTAACTTGGGCCCACAAACCTTTGTGTTGACACAGCCAAGTCTTGAAAGAAGCTGGAGAATCCTCTGCCGCTTCAGAGGTCGGGAAATGTCTTGCCGGTTGACAGAAAATCGTCTTGAAAGGAGAAAGCCCCGTGGCAACATTGACCGCGCTATTAATAGCAAACTCGACCGCAGGCAAATTCCAACCACTTGGTTTGGCACTTTGCAGTGAAGGTACATAGAATTTGACCTACAGTTTTTTTGGTGTGTCCGCTCCTGCCATCCGCTTGAGGATGATACACTGATGATTGATGAAAAGAGATGTTCAACTGCTCCATGAGGGTCTTCCAAAATTTTGAGGCCCAGGCCTTATCTCTGTTGCTTATAATTGATGATGGTGCTCCAAATGTACCTATCCAAGATCCAAAAAACCGGGACGCCGTCTCCTCTGCTGTGTCTGCTTGATTTGTTGGGATAAGTTTTGTCAAACTAGAAAGCCGGCAAGTACATGTTAACAGCATGTCGTAAGAATCTATCTTAGGAAGAGGACCGATGAAATCAATTGAGACGTTGGATAAAGGTTTAATAGGGACTTCTGGCATTCTCATTCAACCATTTGGTAGTGTTGTTCTTGCTTTTGTCTTTTGGCAGATCTTGCAGGCCTTCAGTCTAGTCTTGACATCTCTTGTCATATGAGGCCAGAAAAAGTCAGCTCTCAATGTGGCGAGGGTCTTGAGGGAACCTAGATGCCCCACACGCTTGTGTGTCTTGTCTATGAGTTCAGCCCTCAGAGAAGTAGTTTTGGGGATTAGTAACAGAATTTTATAAACCATTTCAAATGGGTTTTTGACAAATCATTTTAGAAGATTCAGAGATTCAGTTGCTTTAAGTACCAGCCATTGATTAAAACAAGACCGCCCTCCTTGTAGCAGTTGTCTCATAGAGGCATCCCTTTACAAACTGTGTGGCAAAACTTGTCTGTCTTGTAACCACTAAGGATGGAGGCCCAGAAGTTGTTGGATATAGAGGAGTGAGATATTGCCAACACAGCAATTGTTTCAACTCCGGTTTGTAGGTTGTTGGCGTCCTTCCGTGATAAAGCATTGGCTACTGAATTGTCTTCCACCTTTGACATAGGCCGTTGCTATTTGCAGCCAGCAGAAAAACCATGTAGGTGCTGGGCAAATTACACCTACATGTGGTTTTGCCACAAAAAAGTGCCTAAATTTATGATGTAGGTGCTGAAAACTTGTTGAAATGACGCCTACAGGTTAAAAAACCTGTCAGCCCTGGGTACATATACATGTACCCAAAACTAACTTATAATATAGAACTTTCACTTATAAACCTAATTACATGTACATACAGCTTATAAAACACATGTAACATATAATAAAACATATACAAACATCAATTACATATACATATACATTTAAAAACATATGTAACATGTAATAAAACACCAATTACACCTCATAACTCAGTGTCAAGAGTTGAAATGCTTATACTACATAAATTACATAACACGTATATGTAATTATGTAATATTAATAATAATAATAATTGATAATAATCATTAAACCCTAAACCACAGTAATGATACAATCAAATATCACTACAATTAGGTTTGGAGAGGAGAGTATATAAACCCCTCCTCTCTCAGCCTTCAAGGACTTTCCCTCAAGCATTTTTTATTACACACCTCTTTTAAAGAACCCTTTAAAGACCCTTTTGAAGTACATAACCAAAAGTCTTATAAATATAAGACTAGTGATTCACTTCATATCTTTAAAGTAGCTTCCTGACTAAAAGATAAAGTAATCTTATTCTTCATCCTCTGGATCCCTACTTCCCCTAAGTAGAACACCCCTATCAGGTTAGTGACCTTCCAATAAACATCAGGTTAGTTACCTCCAGAACAACTACAGGTTAGTGACCTATATCAACTCACAGGTTAGTGTACCTTCTGAACAACTGCAGGTTAGTGACCTATATCAACTCGAGGTTGGTGTACCTTTTGAATAACCATAAGTTGGTGACTTTATAACAACCAGACTAGTGACTTTACACATCACTCTTCAATCAGTCACTTTGAAGATTGAAGGAAAGCCTTGGATCCAGCTTTCATATTTCTTATAATTATAATCTCCTCTTCAGGAGTCATTTAACTGTAGCCTGTCAGGATTTACCCAAACAGGCCAGTTCTCTTCTCCTTCCCTCCTTTTCTTCCCTATAATCTTATTGTAATTACCTTATATTAATTATACATATGATTATTTAAGATTACAAACTACCCTGACCACCTTTAGTGAGCATTGAGTATCCTTTTGAATACCCAACCCTCACAAAACCCATGTAGGCTTCATTTGGCTACACCTACATTCTAAGAATAAAATGTAGGCGCTATTTTCAAGTGCCCACATTATGAAATTTTGAATGTAGACATAATGTCTGAGTGCCTACATATGCAGTTCAAAATGTAGGCGCTGTTTCCAAGCGCCTACATGGGAAATTCAATGTAGGTGCTCAAAAAAAGCGCCCTCATCTCAAAAACAAACATGTAAGCATGATTTTTTGTAATTTTTGAGCGCCCACATTCCATTTTCTGTATGCAGGTGCTGGCAGATGAGCACCTACATTAATTTGTCAGCTCAAATAGGCGCCTACATGCAGTCTTGCATAACTAGGCGCTACAAATCCAGCACCTGCAACTCCAAACTGGTCTGACGGGTAATGAAGAACAATTTTCAAGTCAAAATGAGAGTATTGGAAGACAGAAAAAGCAGTTTGGACTCAAAATGAGAGTATTGGAAGACGGAAAAAGCAGTTTGGACTTGAAATGGGAGTATTGGAAGATGGAAAAAGCAGTTTGGACCTGAGAAGAGAGAATCAAAAGACAGATAAAGCAGTTGAGTGTATTGGAAGATTAATACGCTCTTTTCAACTGCAAAGTTAGCTTATCAGAGTATCAGAATACGTAAATAGAAGCTTGGAAAATATTTTCATCATGAATCATTTCAAAAAAAAAACCAAAATTTGAAACATATCCATCCATATCGAATTCCAATCATGATTCCAAAAAATCTTTTACAACAAAAACACACATTCAAAAATAAACACACAACTAATAGAAATAAAGATTATTCAATAACAACAAGTTTCCATTTTTAGAACTTCTGGTGGTAACTCCTTTATTTAATTCCCTCAATTTCTCCATTTCCTCCATCTTTCTTTCCCAAAGAGCAAAACATTCCTTGAGGAAACCATCATTCATCCAACCAGCAGCATTTCTTCCAGCCATTGAAACCCAAATTTTATGCTGATCTTTCCATTGAGAAGGGTTTGGAAAAGGTAAAGGAGAATCAGAAGAAAAAGAAAGAGAAACCCAATGACCATTATTCAAGTTGATTAGCTTCAAAACTGATGAAGTTGATAGGCTTCTGAGGCGTGGAGGCTTGAACGTGGATGAAAATTGATTGAAATCTTTAAAATCCGTGTTCTAGAACTTGAAAAGGGGGGAAAGAGCAAAGTGTCCTCTATATAAGTTGAACAGGACAAGAAGCTGGACCAAAGTTCCACATCCACACATGTGCAGGCACATTCCCACGCCTCAATACATATGTAGGCGCTCAAAAATGACACCTACATTGCTTTTTTGGGGATGTGGGCGCTTTTTTCAAGCACCTACATGCAGGAAAATCAATGTAGGCGCTCAAAAAAAGTGCCCACATCTCAAAAAAAGCAATGTAGATGTCCAACAATTACGCCTACATGCAAAAAATGAGATGTAGGCGTAATTTTTGAGCACCTACATTGATTTTCCTGCATGTAGGTGTGATATTCAAGCACCTACATGTAAAATCTTAAATGTAGGCGCTCAAAAATTACGCCTATACAGTTGCTCCAGTCTAGTCACGACCAGACTCGCTCTGCAAAATTGAAATTTGATTACACAAGTTTACACACTGAACTCTTACTTACAAATCATGTGTAAAAAGTCATTTTTGGGCTCTAAGGGGGGTGTTTGTGTCAGAAATGACTTGGTGAGTCAATCTGCTTGGCCAATTTTTTTTTGTTTTATACAAACCTCCGACATTTGGGTCTAGGTACCTAATGGACCTAATATTAAGTCCTTAAGTAATCAACTCAAGTCCTTAAGTACCCTACTTAAGTATTTAAATCCTTAGGTAGCCACTTAAGCTGATACTTATGTACCTTGAGTAAGTAGGCGGAGCACCTCTCATCATAATTCCTGGGGTACAGAACAGCATAGACTTGTATTTTTACAATACAAGGGTGAAGTATGCAGTGACAGAGTGAAGAAAAAGAACTTTTGCCAAAATAAACCCCTGCAAAAAATTTTTGGGTATTACTGGGACCCCCCAACATTTGGGTCCCGGGGCCGGGGCCAGGCTCTGGTCGTGACTAGACTGGAGCAACTGTATGCGAAAAAAGAGATGTAGGCGTGATTTTTGAGTGCCCACATATGTAGGCGCTTGGATTTTATGCCTACATTCAAAAAATGAGATGTAGGCATAAATTCAAAGTGCCTACATTTTGTAGGTGTAACCAAATTACGCCTACATTTCTTTTTTTGAATGGAGGCATAGCCAAATGACGCCTACATGGGATTTAAACCTGTAGGCGTCATTTTAAGAAGTTTCCAGTGCCTACATCATATATGTAGGTGCTTTTTTGTGGCAAACCCGCATGTAGGTGCTGTTTTGGCAGCACCTACATGGTTTTCTTGTGGGCTGCAAATAGCAACGGCCTATCTTAAAGAAATAATTTGTTGCAGTTTCTATTAGTTGTTATTTTTTATTGTGATCTTTTTTACAAGTTAGGGTTTTCTATTATATCCTCAATTATCTTTTCCTAGCGCATGTCGAAGAAAAAGTTACTGTCAAGTCTCCTTCATCAAAAAACAAAAAATTTGTACTAAATGAGTTAGGCGCGTCAGACGCATAAGCCACCCACAGAACTCTTCTTTAACATTTTTAGTCTCAGTAGGGATTGGGCAAGGTGAAATTTTGTAAAACTCAATTTAGCTGCAACTTCAACAAAGGGCCTGGCAGATCCACCACAAATATCTATAAACAGATAAGGCTTTCAAATGGAGTTGACCTGAAAACATGTCAGATCAAAGAAGATCACATGTATTTAGGATGGGTTAGTGGAACACACAACCACGAATTTGAGATCAAATCAAAAGCAAAAAAATAATGTGGAGTTACAGGACTTGTGGATGTTGTCTGCTTTGATTGTATTGAAAATTCTCCCTTTTGATCAATTTGGGAGTAGCTATCCAGTTCTATTGAATTGAAGATATGTGAAAATACTCTAAAATATTATTTTACAAAACTTCACTTTGCCCAATCCCTAGTACCTTTGTTTTTCAATGATCTGCTTTTTTGGAACTGTGCTAATCAAGCTCATCTCAAGAGACATTTAGCGTGAACCTGATACATGAAGTATCCAGACCCAAGTCCCATTCCTGCAACATCATAGCAGCACAACACACTGCGGCTGTAGGCCGCGCCCGAGCAATGACCCTTGCGATAGGTTTTGCAGCGCACCACAGGCAACATAGCAAATGTTTCTGTCACCCAGAATCCGCAGCTTGCAACGCAACCCCACGCAGCATCCAAAAGTTGCCGCAGCTCAACAAGTCCAAGCTTGATCCAATGAAGAAAGAGGTAATTCAGCTTTATGATTTTTAGAATTTGAAGTACACAGTGTATTGTTTATTATATCAAGTTTACAATGATCCATTGAGAATCTAGAGATTTGTTGTACCACTTTCTCAACTTCCATTTGCCATCTAATGATATTTCCCCATGCTCCTGCTTTACCTTTATCTGATTTTATTAAACTGTTTGTACTACTTGACCTTGAACTACCTTTTGACCTTTTTTTGTATAAAATAAGAGTCACATGAAAAAGTGGATAAAGGAGATTGTAGTACAGTGGAATAAGTACCAGGTGAAGTGATTGCCAACCAATGTGTGAATGGTAATTGGACTGATGAAACATCAGATCCGGATGAATGACTTGATGACCAACTCATTGAAGTCCGTTGAGAAAATAATGGTCCTTGTTGAGCTGGACCTGAGGAGATTAGAATCGACTTTGGTGAGATAGCTTGTTGGTTTGAACTTTGGGATCTTGGAAAAGATGATTGTGTTGAAAGAGTACTAGAGGATCCTCCTTCATCTCTTCTTGATATGATCCTTAAATCTACTAAATGTAATTCTTTCATTTTATATGCTATCCATCAACTTATCTTTGGATCTTGGATTTATTCCTTCATTAATGGTCTCGATTCAAAATATTCTTCTACTCTTCCATTACGAAAAGTCCCAAGTACCAAGGGTGCAATACTGTATTGAACTGATAAAGTATGGAGTAAATGAAGTTTGTGTTTTTGTGAAATGAGTGAACCAGATGATGGACCATAGATTCAAAGTAAAACTGTAGGTGGTGGTGTGTGTGGCGGACTTGAATTCAAGTCATTAAGATCATTGAATTTCAAACTTGATTCACTTGATTCAGAGTTGATGGGCCAAAAAAGAGAAAAAGGCGGCATTGGTAAGACTTTCTCCAACTTTATAAATCGAGATTGATGATTGAGCTGAATCTGGTAAAGTACTCCATCCGTGTAGTTATAATTCATATTGGAGCATTTATAAACACGGATTGAGCGCATCCATCAGATCGATGATGTTTGAAGAAAAGAATCAAGTTAGTTATTTTTTCATCATGAATGAATGAATGTTGGAGATGTTTACCTAGCGATGAATTTAGTTTCACATCTTGATACACCTTCAGCATGAACTGAATGAGAAGTATAATCTTCTGGTTTGTCTTGTGCTTCATCATTCAAGTTCATTTAAAATGATCATCATTATCAAGATTAGTATGAGTAGTAGGTTGAAGTTCAAAGGTAGTAGCGGTAATGGTTGAAGTGGTACTAGGAGGTAAATCCACTTGAACGGTTGACATCTTTGTTGTTTTGTTGTTTTGTTGGTTTGTATGATTACGGTACTCAAAGCAAGTATGCTTATGTACATAGTTGCTACATAGTTGCTCGTAAATAGTTTTTCTGCACTATATTCGGTCATATTCGGTCCCACCAAAGTATTTTTTTGATTGCCAGTTTCTGAGTTTGTTACCGTGTGTCCTGATTCACCTATGCCCAATCAATCACCACCACATCCAACGATGGACTCAACTGGTCTTCCAAATACACCTACCACTCCCTTCAACAACTTGAATACGAATCTGTGGACTGTCCCACATGCCTTGACCAGTCCCGCTGCAGGTCAAGTTCAATTGATTTCCCCCTATTCAACACCCCATCCGTTCTCCTCTGGTACTCCGGTCATCTTTACGTACCCTGCAGCTCAGCCAGTCACCTCGGCTTCTCAGCCTTTGCCGTTGGTCATGCAATCCTCCGTTTCATTAACCCCTGCCGAGTCGACACAACCTACTGAGGAGGCTACCAAGAAACCTTGTCGCGGTCGTAAAAGAACTTCTAAAAAGGGTCCAGCGTCTTCGACAAAGAAAACTGCAGCTTTGGGACCAGCCACCACATCCGAGACACACCCTGAAGACAAGTCCGGTCGAAAACAGAGGTCATGGGAGAAAGATCTCAATTCGGATGGAAAGTCAATGGTGGACTTGATAGTTGAATGGCTGTGCTTAACTTGGGGTGATCAAGAGAATCCAAGTGATTCGGAGTGGATGTGTATGGAAAGTTCTGATTTGATCTCGAATAATTATGCCAGATTTCGAATGGGGCTGCCCGGTAAGAAAGAATGTGCAAGACGATGTGCTCTTTTCATTGGTGCAAATGGATTTGAAACCCCCACCTGGGAAGGTGTCAAACAAAAGGTATGTTGGCTCTGATTCGTTGCTGAATGAATTTCATTAATTCTTTGTTAATCTTTCTTCATATGAAAACCTACAAACTTTAGATCGATAACTTGGAAACTAAATTCAAAGACGCGCAGAAGTGGGCTAGACAGACAGGCGAAGGAGGTGGTCTCACCATCAAACATAACGCGGACTTTGAAATTGAGGTGCTTCGATCAATTGGAGAGTGGTCTGAGGAGCGAGAGCAAGAAATTAGGCAGATGGCTGCTCAGACTACCAAAGGTAAGCTGTTTTCTCATATTTACTGCACTCGTTTCATTCCCTGATTTGTGTACTCTGCGCACAGATTGCTTGAATAGTAGATGCCCCCACTTCGACATCCTCAGCCCAATTATGGCTGATCGTGCCGGAACCGTGCCTTTGTACACTTCGGAAAGTGGTGTTGACGATCAGCCAAACCGTTCGAACACTTCAATTAATCCCCCTTCGCCTTCGCCTCAGCCTCAAGAGACTCAGGCTACTCAAAATAGTGGCTGGGAACCAACACAACGTTTAGAACCCGAATTCGATGATGCAGAAGATGGCCAAAATGCTGACAATTCCCACTCGTTGAGTCAAAACACGACTCGACCTAATTTGGCACAGTCTGCTTTATCTCGCTCACTCGAACGCAGTTCAAGTTCTCAATCTTCATTGATATCAAAAACTCTGCCACGTCAAAATTTCATTCAACCTGTGAAGAAACCTATTAGTGAGAACCCCAGAAGAACTTCAGCTGGTACCTTAGGTGTCCTCAAATCTTTTCAATCCTCTTTACCAACTCAAGCAGATTACGAACAGTTGAAAAATGAAAATACCGCTGCCGCCGAGACCAATTGCCTTGCGTTTCAACAAGCTTCTTCAAACTCGAATGCTGTGATGAACCTGTTAGAAGCACAATTTGGAAGTCAAAATTCTTCCGAAAAACGTACTCTGGACCCTGAAGACTTAACACCTGAGGCTATTGAAAAAAGGAAAGCCAAGAAGGCTAAAACTGAAGAACTCGAAATGCTCAAATTAGAACGTGAATTGGCTCAGGAGCGTAGGGCGTTACACGAGAGTGCTGAAGGTTCAGGATTGTCTAAACTTGAATTGGCTAGAGAAAAGGCCGACTTGATTAGCAAGTTCTGTCTCGCCCATATATCCCTGGAAACCGCTCGTGAGATGGCTCAGGAAATTATTGATAGTTTAAAATGATTCGACTTTATTTTTTTTTGGTTCCTGTCCTTTTAAATCCAAAAATTGGTTTCTTCTTGTTTGTTTTCTTTTTTATCTTTTTCCAATAAAAATAGTTATCGTAAAAAAAAAGTTTGTTATATCTGGTTATGTCTATCAAAATGAAAAATTTTCTTGTTTGTTTTCTTTTTTATCTTTTTCCAATAAAAATAGTTATCATAAAAAAAAGTTTGTTATATCTCGTTATCTCTATCAAAATGAAAAATTTCTATTTTTTTTCGGTTCAAAAACAAAAACCCAATGTTCTTATGATGCAGTGACACAGTGACACAGTGACACACACACAAGTTTGAACTTATTCAAACTGAAGAGTCTCCAATAATTACATGATCAAGTTCAAAATTTAAACAAAGATTTTGAACTTGATCATCCTGATCATGGACACTTCGGCTCCTCAATAATCTCACAATTGGCACTAATAGGTCAGGTGGCATTTCTCATGTCATTTCTTTAATTTCATGTATTTAAAGATATATCTGTCAAAACATAAAGAGATCGCCATACAAATTGACCTAAATGTTTTGATTTGCTCGATAAACCCTAAAGGCCTGCAGGAGTTCGTTTCGCCTGCGATATGAAGCGTTTCGTTCCTCGATTGGTTGCAGGTCTTGCGGATCCATGGTAGGAGGTAAAACTGCTTCATTTTGATGATGATTTTCTAACATCCATTGGTCCCGGAAATGAATGGTAAAGTTGTGCAAAATGCAACAAACCTTGATCCACATAACTGCATGTTCCGCCGAGGAGACATCCTTAATTGTGATTCGCAAACTTTGCAACGATTGAAAACGAAGTTTGAGTTGACCGTTGCTGTGCTCACTTACAACCCGCTGTTCACTGAGAGCTCGGTTGAATTCTCTCCGCACCACGTCTAAGGTCTGTAATCGTGGACTTTTGAATGTAGGAATTAGGTGCTGGGAGCATGTGTAGCCTGAGTCGGCCAATATGTATTCGTTATCTCCAAAATAATTCTGTGGGTGTTGAGCAAGCTAAAAATACCAAAAAGGAACTTGTTAGCTTATTATCATGTTAAAGTAATTGAAAATACTGACTTGAGAGGATGAGTAGACACGTTGGTCGTGTGTACTACCACACCAGCCATGCAAATAATAAATGATTTGACCTTGATGATCCGAAACCAACATGGTGTTGAGAGCATACGTATGCTTACGAGTCCAGAAGTCTTCCGGATCCTTGCTGGGTGCAAATGCAAGCGGTATGAGGGTGCCATCTATAAATCCTACACAATCTTGAAAGAACGATTTTCTACCAATCTGACTCTTGATTTCATTTCGTTCTTCTTGATTGGGCCATTTAACATAATCTTTTTCAAGCTTCAAAATAGCCTCAAAACAACGATGCGTAAAATTATGAACCGAACCTTCTAAAAAAATCCATTGTAAGTCTCATCTTCACGAGCTGAACTGGAATAACATATTACCAACCACTAAATCCAAAGTGGCGCCCTATCATATAGGCACTACCCCCATTCCCACTTGAACCGAGCCGGCATAAAGTGATGAGTAATTGCCATTCAACTGGTGTTTGAGGCGAAGACGAGTTATTAACAAAGACTAGATCATGTCGGATGAGATCAGCCAAGCGCTTGAAGTTTTGTCGTGACATCCGTGCCTGATGGAATCATATGAAGGCATTCAGAAACAAATGTTAATATGAGACGTATTAACATTTGTTGGGAACATCGACCAGAACTTACATGTCGGAGAAAATTCCGATCACTCCCATTGAAAACGTTTTGAAACTTCAGTACCTGGAAGGCTGTAAGTCGATCATGAAGCCTTGGTCTGATGTATCGAAGGTGAGTGAGTTCATCAAAAGCTTGACCAATAGCCAAAGCGATCTTGAAGGTATGTTGATGGATTGCTTGCTGGGACATGATCAAGGCTTCAAGGTTGGAGCCGGCTGTGATGAAGTTGTTGAATGTGCAAACAAGGGAGAGCGAAGCCATGATGAAGACGTCTTCGGAGTCATCCAAAAGCATCAGAGCGGCGATGTTGATCAAATCAAAGTGAAAACAGGCGTATAAATGAACATAAGAGGGAGGTTGAGCTGTAGCAAACAGAGCAGATAAGGTATGGGTACTCGCTTGAGCAAGCCCAAGTGCGATTTTTTGCCGCTCGCCAACACGAGGCATGAGTTGAAGAGGAGAAAAGTATGTAGGGGTCCTCAAAGCCTAACTTAACTAAGTCCCTGCAGCCAGACACTTCTTCCTCGCGAGCTCGGGTGTCTGGTGAGGGACTTATGACTAACCGGGCTTCCCTGGTGGTCGAGCAGGACTACTCAAATTTGAGTTTGGCGTGGAGGTTTTTTCAAACCTCAAATACTCCCACTTGGTCTCAATAAACTCCCGTGCCCATTTTAACTGGAGATACTAGCAGCCATTGCCTCCATCCCTGTCTATTCACATTTCACATATCTCTTTCTGAGCTTTGTCAAGAAAGGAATGAAGTTTTTGAAATTTGAAATTTGGTCGCAGGTAACGACTGTATTGACAAAACAAAATTTAAGATAACACATTCCGTTTGCTCTTGCAAAAGGACTGCTTTTTGATCAATGACATTCAATCAATGACAAAAGTTGTTCATTTGCCTGTTCTGGAGATTTTGCTCTCCTCAGAATTGATGTATCATATAAACTACATAAGCTATAGGACTGTAGAGGATTAGGTCAATTCAAGTTCCTGCTCGATCACCAAAATCATGCGATAATTCACAAGTCCCTCTCCAGGGCACCGAGCTCGCGAAGGTAAGAAAGCCTCTGCGAGTTTGGGACTTGTGTTAAGTTAGCCTCAAAGCTATATACTTTGGGGCCCAAATATACTTTTTTTTTCCCTGCCAAAAAAAAAATCGAAAAAAGTATGTATGACAACTATGTACGAACTATATAAGCGTACATATGTAGCTTTGAGTACCATAGATGATGGCGACTAAAAGTTGAGACTGAGTTGATAAAGTGAGGTTCAATAATAAAATGTTGTTTAAATGCTGTTTCGTATCAGGACTTTTGCGATATTTTCCAGCCAATCGCAACTTCATTTGTCTCATCCTCTTCCTTCTTAACGCAAGAGCGAGATTCATGGTTGTACTCAACACTATATCTCATAGTAGCTCGTCCATCCCACACCTTACACACTGAGACTATTGAGCTGGGCTACTCTCCAACTACAGGGTACCACTGATCATATGAAAGAAATATGAATTATGTGGCCTCTAGCAAATTGAATGCTTTTGTATATAAAACATTTTCTACCTACACAAAATAACCTGATGAATTTTTGATCGGACTACATCTACCTGTTTTTGATTCTCAAAAATACATGGGAATCAAATCAAGTCAAAAAACTTTTGAAATAACATGTAGATCCAACCATATATAAATTCTGAAATCATGAGAAATAAATCCAGAATAATTTAATAGGCACTTATGAGGCATACATTTCTGGAGAGCTGTTACCCAATGAATATACATTTCTGGTTATCTCATATCTTCAAACTCGACTATCTTTTTCCTCAACGCAGGAAGTTGGAACGCACATATTGATTCATTGTTTCTTACGGAAAAAGAGCTGTCAATATGGGACCCTCAAACAGGACAGAATCAGGATTGAAGCACGTTAACGTCAGCATTTCTGCTTCTGTTCCAACAATTCTGGCGGTTATCACTGGTTAGCTCTGGTTACTTTGCTGCAGAGCTTGGCGAAGTGCGTCATCAAAATCGTGTTCATGGCCCACTGCGGTGCGATCCTTCACAATTACCGCGCCCGCGCGTGGGCTGTGCTAACCCTCTACAGCCCTGCCCTCTACACAAGAGGAGAGTGTGTCCCAGCTTGCGCGGCGGGGATGGTCCGGCAAAGGCCCGGATAAGGTTTCTGATCACCTAATGGTCGCGTACATCAATACATTCTCTCGGACTCTATCGGGATGCACAATGTTGTTCTCTTATCGCATTCAAGAGCTGATACGCTTGATCGCAGAGAAGTCAACCGATACATGTATGTAACTGTTTGATGGTTGTGGCAGGGGCGATGGCTTTCCTCCTGACATTCAATTGATAAGCACATGTCGTATGCAAAGCAAAGGAGACTCTAAACACCCAAATCCTTATGCAATATTCAAGGCAAGCGAAAAAAATGGTGGCCAAGCATCAAAGGGCATACTTGTTACTTGTCAATCAGCTTCATCACAATACAAAAGTTAACCGCAACCACAGAGACGTGAAGCAAGCGGAGACCAAAGATTCAGGGACCCATGTAATACCAAACCGAGCTCGCAATCAGCTTCTCCACAATACAAAACTTGACAATGTCCACATCTTGAAATCCAACATGATGCAACGCTGCAGAAGTTGGTGCAAGGGAGCACAGCATTATGCTCTATGACAAATGTTTTTAGGAGAGTCATACGGACAGCAACTCAGGTACTCTTCAACAAGTATAAAAGCTTGACTGATTTGCTGACAATTTGTTCCTTATCCAATCATCCTACTGAGTTGTTTGTTTGACCTGCGCACTTGCCTGGGTATGTTTCCCAACTTTTTTCATCAGCCAATTGTAGATTTTTTCTAAAAACATGAACCAAGCTCATACTTGATGATTCCTTACCTTACTCTTTTGATTGGGATAGATACTATTGGTTTCAATCTGAAGCTAACCCACACACAATCTTTCAAATTCTGTGACTTTAGCATCCCGGTGAGTCTTGAGATATTCAACCAAATCTTCTTAACAATTTCCTGTGTCTAAAACTTGGTTGCTCAATTAGATATCATCATGAACCTCAGCATTGTTGCAGCCATATTCATGGCATCTGTATCATTCAACCAAGTTTTTGGCACAAGGGAAACAGGAATTCTCTCTGCTGATCAGGCCTTGGAAGCCTTGGGCAACCCACTGGCCCGCACCATAGATACAGAGGAGGATTGTCCTGCTTGTAAAGGTGAGC